AAACGGAACTGCAAGAGTGAACAATCAAACTGGATGTAAAAGACTTACCCGAATCATAACTCGATAAAAAAAAACTCGAGGCTCTTCCCATTTTCAAGCCGAGACGGACTTTAACCATGTGTTTTCGAAGGAAAACAGCATGGCTAAAGTCAGTCTCTGGCTCAAAATTCATGGAACCTGGCCTGCCTAACTTCGATCTGGAATCCGAGCTACTCCACGATGATTTGAAAAGAGTCGATCAGGGATTCATGGCGAGGGGGTCCAGGAGATCACAAGGTGTGAGTTTGGTAGCATTTGAACGGATTAGGGTTTGGGTTGATTCCTTTTATCTAAGATTCGAGGAGCTCGGGGGTGATTCGAAGAAAAGTGAGCGTGGGACTGGAACGAGGAAATCTTGGCGAAGCTGTGGTGTGAATTTGGAGGCTATTGGATAAGATAGGGTTCCGGCCTGATTTTCGATCTAACATTCGACGCACACAGCTGGGATTCGTGGGATAAGAGTTAGGGATTCGGAATAGGTAGGTCGAGGGGAATCAGTGGTGAAAAGATGGGGTTGTTCGGACCACCGGAACCACCGTGAGGCGATTTCCGGTGGGCGGAGCACGGTGGTTGAAGGCGGAGGGTTTGTTTGATCTCTGAAGCTCAGAGATGAAGAGGTGGGGGGGTTTGGTTTAGGGGGCGGGGTAGGATTTAGGAATATATACCATGTGGGAAATTTAATCCCGGCCATTAGATCAATTAAGATCAATGGCCAGGATCAAGGAGATTAACCCATACGGCGTCGTTTGGTTTAAGTAGGGGGTCAGTTTGAACCGGGTAACGGGTCGGGCCAGGGAATGGGTAAGGATGGGGTGATCTGGACCGTTGGATCAAGTCGTATCAACGGCCCAGATTCTTCATGCCCGAACGGTGTCGTTCCACCCGTCTCCAAGACTGGTTGGATTGGACCGGGTAAAAGGGTATTTGGATTGGGCCTGAACTTTCTTTTAAAATTGGCCCAGTCCGATTTTCTTCTGTTGTTTTCTTCTTTTTCTTCTATTTTCTTTTTAATTCCTAAAAACCAAAATTCCTAATTAAATTATATAATTGACAATTAACTAAAACATTAACTCTTAATAATAGCTATCACACGAAATTAAACATCAAATAAAGATAAAATCACACAATTCGGACATTAAATGCAAAAATGCAAAGTACATATATTTTTTTCATTTTGTAAAACAAACTTAATTGTTTAGTTAATTCCTAAAGTGTAAAATTAAATCCTAAATGCACATGCAACACATATTTTTGTATTTTTCTTAATTAAAGTAGAAATAAACATGCACAGACAAAATACAAATAAATCACAAACAACACAAAACCATTTTATTTTGAATTTTTGGGAGTAGTTCTCATATGGCAAAAATCACGTGCTCACAATACCCACTCCAAATTTCTCACAAAATCATAATCGAAATTTAAGAAGATTAGCATTGAACGAGATGAGATTTTAGGTTTCTCGCGTCTGATTTTGCGTTTTGTAGTTGTGATAGGTATGTATAAACTTGAGGAAAAAAGAGAATAAAAACTCAGGGATATTTCTCGCCTAAAGATACACAAAATAAGAAAACGAAAAAAAATAATTCGGAGAAATATTGGTTATGGGAGAAGGCATGAATGAGTGTTGGCTGAGTGTCTCGATCAATTGTTACACTAAACTTAGGGAACTAATTTACGTTTTCATTTTTTGTTTGCATATGATACTTTTTTATTAATTAAATTAAATATTTTATGGGTGAAAAATGAGGAAAGAGCTACAATATGATAGGTAGGTGATGAAAATAAAGATGAGGTTGTTATAGTTAGAGGGAATGGTAAAAGAAAAGGCCTCATTGATATTTGGCTACACATTTACAAACTTGTAACTGGACTAAAATAGTGCAAGATCTACTTATGAAGTGCATTATTGTGTAATTTTGTCTTTATTCATTCGAACCCGTTTTAACCGCTTAGATAAAGTCCAATCCAACAATTTAACACCCCTAACCACAACTATGCCTATATTGAAAATTTCCATATTGCACTGTGGTTTCAAACCCGAATATTTCGGCCAAATCAATAATGATATTTCTTTTGTTAAGGAAAAGTTCAAATCAGTGGCAGATCATAGAATATCAAATGATTTCCAAACTTTTTTTTTTTTATTTTTTTTATTTTTAACTTCACCCTTGACGGATGAAGAGTGGTTTCTCACTTGTTTCATTGTGTAATTTTGACTCATCGTGACTCAATGTTGATTTGTAGGTTAAAACGTCGAAAGATGTTATGTTACGTGTCTCATATGATTGGAAAAATAATCTATTGTGTTCATTCTAACTTTCTTAACATCTTAACAAGTGAACGATCGATACAAATTTTCAACCTATGAGTTTTTGTGTTTAAATATATGACTTCCTCCTAAGACCAATATGTAAATTTGAATGTGCCTACTATATGCAATTTTTTCAAGTAGTCACCAGAAAACACACTGTAAATAAACAAGAAGAGAAGTGTGCTCTAAGAAGAAAAGCGAGAGCATTCTCTATGTATTTTTTCACACACTTCTATTACTTAAATGTAATTATTTAATGTATATTTTTATTATAACATATTACTTAATCATGATCAAAGCGTATTTACACAAAAAGCTTATAGAAGTGTGAAATGCAGGAATTGAACTTTTGGAGTCTGTGTCACCATATTATGATATCATAGCTAAAGAAGCCTGTCTGGAATTGAAGGTATCCGATGGACTTAATTCTTGAGAATCAATTATCACCTTAAATAGTAAGGAATAATTGGGACAACATAATGTGGCATGAGATGAATTCATGTGCTCCAACTACCAGTGTTAGAATAACAACTTTCCCCCACTTTATTACCAAAAGTTTCCTCAAAATAACTACAAGTCTGGCCCAACTCAGGGGTAGGATAAATAGTATGAATAATTATAAAGACTTGCCCTCAATTTTCATTCGAAAAAGGGTCATATATGTCCCTCTACTTTTAAACATTGTTTATATTTGCCTTCCGTTATACTATTCGATTTTATATAACCTTGCCGTTAGACTTTTAAACAAAAATGCCCCATTGTCTAACAGACCAGTAGGACCCAACAACCAAAGAGACACGTGGAAGCTATATACTCATTTGGATATACCCATCTATTTAGCCTAACCCAGACCCTTACAAATAACCCACACCCGAATCCGGATCTTACAAACAAACCATAAAAATGAGCTATATCATTCGGTCTTCTCTTGTTGTAGCAATTGTGCTAGCTAGCCCTTTCTTAACCACGAAAGAATCATGAAAATCACAAGTATATTCTTGGTTTTATCGCTCAGTTTTAAGACTTACGAAAGTTTACCTTTCCCTTTATACAAAGAAGTATCGAATTTGACACCTCCAAACAATTTATGTAACTGAGTATCAATTCTTGAAACATTTGCACAATTTTCAGTTTTCCTATTTACCCGCCAAAAAAAAGATACCTCTAAATCAATCTTTAACCTATATCCAGAAACAAAAGCAATCAAAAAAAATTAATCTTTAACTACACCGAAAACACACAAAAAAAAAAAAATTCAATCATTACCTATGTTCACAAATAAAAACCAAAAACAATTCAACTTTATCTGTATCCAAAAACAAAACAAAAAACAGAAAAAAAAAAAAAGTTGAAAAGGATGCAGTGCTACAATGTCGTTCGAGCAAGAACAAGAATGATGGTTTGAAGGTCAATCACTGTTACAAGTGTAGAAATAGAGACCACCATTACTCACCAATTTCAAGAACAAATTCATCACTCTGTTCCTCAATTTTTTTTTAATGTTTTACTCTACTTTATTTAATATATAGGAAAAGTGGGCTTTTACGTTTAGTCGAACATTAATCACTTAGCATCTATTTTTGAAGTTTTGGGTATTGAGAAGTGTTACTTTTGCTGGATTTAGTTGCTTCGGAAGGAAGATTTTAGAAGGAGATGAAGTAATAAAGAAGGGAAAAAGATCTCGATTCAGGTGTGGGTTATTTGCAAGGGTCTGGGTTAGGCTAAATAGATGGATACATCCAAATGAGTATATAGCTTACACGTGTCTCTTTGATTGTTGGGTCTTATTGGTCTGTTAGACAGAGAGGTATTTTTGTTTAAAAATCTAACGGCAAGGGTATATAGAGTCGGATAGTATAACGGAGGGCAAATATAAATAATATTTGAAAGTAGAGGGACATAAATGACCCTTTTTCGATTTTTATTTTAGGATACTAATCTCTCTTGTAGTTTACAATATAACGGCTATCTCTTTTATTTTAATTTTTAATATCTTGTGATGTTCTTAATAATTACTTTAATATATTTATTTAAATGTCAAAGCATTATAATTTGACTTTTTTATGCTTACTAATATATTCTTTTATTTAACAAATTTGTTAAGATTTTTTTTAGTATCATTCGCAAACAAAAGAGCATTTTAGTAAGGGTAAACTAGTCAAACTGTAAACCATTTACATTAATAATAAAATATTAAAATAATTGTTATATAAGACAAACGAGGGTTGTTCAAGTGGTAAATTTCATCCACCTCAACCCCTTAGGTTGCGAGTTAAGCGACCAATGGAGCAAAATGGGAAACTCTTGGCGAAGAGGGAGAATAACCATTATAAAAAAATTAAAATATGAAAAATTGCCCTTAAATTACAATGGACATTATTGTTATGAAACCAAACTTTAGGGGATCTGAAATTGTCCCTAAATTTTATGTTATCAACTAATTACACTTCAATCCTTATAAATTGGTATCATTTTCGCCCTATTCAGAAGTAAAAGATAATAGTATCGTTATCTCAAATTAAGCAATATCATGAGTATGAAAATATCAAAGCAACAAAACGAAGAGACCATATCAATTGCTAAAAAGGAACAAAATAAACTAAGAATCCAGAAATTTTACAAGCAAATTTCTACTTTTCTATCTGAACTAAAATGAACTTGAAGAAGGTAATTTCATTATAGAATCTTGAACAGAATTAACCCCATTTCTAAGGACTTTTCTTATAAGTTTCTCCTCAGCATCCCTCAAGAACTTGAACTTAGGAGGGGGTGAAGATTTTAGACTATCAATTTCAGATTCAAAGAGAGGGTTGAAATTGAATTCTTGGCTGTTGTATGAATCAAGAGATTGAGATTTAACGGGTGGTGAAGATAACGGAGTAAGAACAAGGGTAAGGTCACTAAAGCTTCTGGTTCTTGAACCTTTTCTACTTCTATCGCCTCTAGATTTTCCATCATTAGATTCCAAATCCTCCTTTGTTTCCTCTTTAATAGTAAAGAGAAACCTAAGATTATGCAGTCTCATCAGCTCTAACTCGGCGTTATCTTCTCTGTATCGTTCCAATTTTATAGGGTAGTCTTCCTGATGGGACGATGACTCTCCATCATCTTCAACAAAACCTTTCAGCAACAAACCATTGTTGGTCCCTAACTCCAAGTCTTGATCTTGACCATTAATTTCAATTGTGGTAACTTCTTGAGTACCATTTTTTCTTACAGAATTTGATTTCTTCCAACAGAAAATGGATGAGAGCTCAGTTGGTCTTTTTGAGATTCCTTTTTTCACCCACAATATGTAGTACAACTCTGCAACAAATCCCATCAACATGCAACCTAAAAGGAAACTCAAACCAATACCTAAAGCACCAAAAGTTGCCATTTTTAAGGGTCCTGGAAATGGACCAAGAAGAGAGGAGGCATTTGAAGAAAAAGAAAGAATGGGAAGCACAATATATATCTACAACAAGGCAATAAGTAGAAGATAGTCGTTTCTATAATATAAATTTATATATGACATGTTGAAAAATGCAAGATTTTAAATTAACATGTTTGGAGTATTAGCTATTACCTTGGCTCCTCAGGTCCAATTTATGTAATTATTTAGACGGTCAAATGTATTTTTTCTTTTATCGTATTTTTGTAAAATTATTACCAAATAACAACAATAACGAGTATATTACTTTTTATGTAATTTTTAAATATATAGAAGTAAACTTTTACCATTTAGTCGCACGCCTATGCATTTTATATATATATATATATATA